TTTCATATAATTATATGAAAGATCTATTAAATTTTTAATTGTATTAATGCAAGGAATAGAAAATTGTGAATTGAGAGTATTAATATAATTTTTGAATAAATCACTTTCAACAATAGATAATGGTTGTCTTGTTCCTACTATAAATTTCACAAGATCTTGATTTAATAATTTTTGTCTTCTTGAACTAAGAGGTCTTGATAGAAGTTCATCAATAGATTGTTGTTTTTTTGGTTGTTTTAGATTGCTTATTTCTTCTGGAGTTTTTGAAGATAATGAAACTTCAGTAATATGATGATCATCACGAAGATGTTTTGTATAATTAGTTGTAGAACCATGATAGACATATTTACGTGTACAATCTTTTATTTGACAAATTGCATAAACAACATCTGTTTCTGTATCATGATCAGTTATAAAAAAATCCCAAACAAAACTAGTTCTCAATGTTACTACTGTTTTTGATTTTTTTGATTTTGATTTTTTTCCTTTAGGGGTTTTTAATAAAACAGATACTTTTCTTTTTCTATAATTTTGAAGATGACTTGAATTATTTAGAATATTATTGTTACTGATTTCACCTTCACCTTCATCTTCATCACCTTCATCACCTTCATCACCTTCATTACTGATTTCATTATCATCTAATTCTTCTATATTAGTTGATTTTTCAAAAAAAGATTGAATCCCTTTTTTATTTATATTGCTTTTTATTCTATTCATTGGGGTTTTTTTGTTTTGGATAATATTTTTACTTGATGAAGCAATAGGTGTTTCATCTTCACTTCGAAAATTCATTTCAAAAGATAAAAAATCATCATTTTCAAAATCATTTTCATAATTATTCAAAATAGAATTATTTTCTAGAATCCAACCTTCTGTATTTTCCACATCTACATTTTTTTCATGTTCTATTTCCTTTTCTTTTCCTTTTTCTTCTCTTTTTTTACTACTATTAATTCTCTCTTCACTTTCTTCTTCTTCATCCTCTTCATCATCTATTTCTATAATTTTTACAATATCTCTTTTTCCTTTTTTTCCCACTTTTTCTATTCTCCTCTCCTCAAGTTCTTCACTCTCTTCTCTTATGTCATTCTTTTCTCTTCTTCTCACCCTTTCTCCCTTACTCCCTTCTCCTAAACGTCCATGACCCTCTGCGACCGTAATTCTGACGATTTCAGTGATTTGATCGATTTTATTTTTTATTTTTTTTCCTGCTTCTTTTTCTCTTTTTTTTTTCTATTTTTCTTTCCTCAAATTCTTCACTCTCTTCTCTTATGTCGTTCTCTTTTCTTTTTCTCCCCTTTCCTTACTTACTTCCCTCTCCTAAACATCCGTAACCTTCCGCGACCGTAATTTCAACGATTTCAGTGATTTGGCTAATTTTATTTTTTATTTTTTTTCCTGCTTCTTTTTCTTTTGTTTTTTTTTCTATTTTTCTTTCCTCAAGTTCTTCACTCTCTTTTCTTCTGTCATTTTCTTCTCTTCTTCTCCCCCTTCCTCCCTTACTTCCCTCTTCTAAATGTCCGTGACCCTCCGCGACTGTAATTTCAGTGATTTCAGCAATTTGGCCAATTTTATTTTTTATTTTTTTTTCTGTTTCTTTTTCTTCTGTTTTTTTTTATTTTTCTTTTCTCAAGTTCTTCACTCTCTTCTCTTCTATCGTTCTCTTCTCTTCTTCTTCCCCTTCCTCCCTTAATCCTTTCTTTTAAATGTTCATGACCCTTCGCAACCGTAATTTCAGCGATTTCAGTGATTTGGCTGATTTTATTTTTTACTTTTTTTCCTGCTTCTTTTTTTCCTGTTTTTTTTTCAATTTTTCTTTCCTCAAGTTCTTCACTCTCTTTCCCTAAATGTCTGTGACCCTTCACGACCGTAATTTCAGCGATTTCAATTTCACTCTCTTCTCCACTCTCTCCTTCACTCTCTCATCTCTCTCCTCCACCCTCCCCTATGTTTTTGTGCTGTCTCTTTCTCTCCTTTTCAGTGGTGGCCCGATTCTCCTGAGGTTCGATTATTATTATTGGTTTGTTCATATTAACCGGAAGAAATCTATAAAAAAAAAAAGAGATTATCATTATCAAAATTATAATTATAATATTATAATTATAAAAAAAGAATAAAATTCGAAAATATAATTATAATATTATAATTAATAATTATATAATATATTAATTATATAATTATAATATTATAAAAGAAAAATACAATGATTAATTACGATTATTCATGATTAATCATGATTTTTATAATCACCAAATAATTGCGATTAATCATCTATTAACATTTGTACTTGACTATATAGTTGATAGTTGATTAATTGCGATTTTGTATTCACGACTTCTAACACTAATTACAACTTGATCTAAATTAAACCAATAAAGATAAAGAGAAATTTTTTAAGTATATTTATTAACTTATAGATGAGATTAAGTGATTGAGCTCAGAGATAAATACTTTAATATCTCAAATTAACCAATTACAGATTTCCAATGCTGAATATAGAATCAAGGATATTATTCGATTAAAAAAAATAAAATCATTTCAGTCAGTGAACAAAATATTAAATGATAAGTTAGCATCAGCTCAGAAGGATGCATTCTCGATTCAGGAAAACTTATCGAAAACAGAATCTGAGAATCTATCCTTTAAATTCAAAATGGTTGAGTTTAAACAAATAGAAATTGAATTAAAACAAGTGAGAAGTGAGTTGGTCTCAAAGGTTAGTGAACTCGAGCACCTGAAATTGAAAGCTACATCAAAAGTCTCATTAGAACCTGTGATTAAGGGAGATAATGAAAAAGATATTTCTGAAGGTAATAGAAGTCTTGCAAAGTATGTGGCACCTAAAAAGAAAATAGAGCAGGTAGAAAAAAATGATACTAATTCTCAGAGTACGGATGCTATCATATCTGATGAACACACCAGATCTCCAAAAATCAATGATGGAATTTAGCCTTCAAGTAAGATTTGTTCTGAGGTAAGTGATACTGAAATTAGTAAAGATAGTATTATCTCTCTGAATGAAACATGTCCTCAGATTTCAATAGGAGAAGTGGAAGCGGTCCCAATTATTGTAGGTGCATTAAGATCACCATTAATTGCATTGCTTTTACTTGCTTTGTTAATTATCATTACTGTATGAATTATATTTATTGCTAGAAGCAGTCACACAGTAGCTAGACCTATATGGAATAGTCAGAAAAAAATAAAAAACAAAAATAATGATATATATAAATATACAATACCTCTGATTCAATCTTAATAGCAAAGCTAGTGACTTGTTACATATTTTTATATCAATATGCAAAAAATGAAACTATTCCTTATGGATATGGACAAAGCTAATAAATATGAATCATCTAGAAATATCAGACATCCAGCAATGACATGGCCTTTCAGTAAACTAGTCAGTGGGAGGAGTGGAACAGGTAAGACCAATTTACTAGCAAACCTTGTTCTTGGAGATAAAGCAGAATATATATATAAAAGGCAAAAGGGAGGATCCCGATATATTAAATGTGATGATTTGATAGTTTGTGGTTATCATCCTGACGAGCCAAAATCGGCATTCGTTAGATACATGTATGGAATAATTGCAAGTAATCCTAAAGCACCTTATTATGAGAATATTAGATTCAGATACATATCACCGGAAAAAATTCCTAATGTAAAATCATTTTCACCTGAGAGAAGTACTGTAATTATTTTTGAGGATTTATATGTCACTCCAGAGTCAATACAAAATCGAATTATTCCATTCTTCACACATGGGCGTCATCAAAATATTAGTCCAATTTTTGTTTCGCAGAAATATCACAAAGTTCCAATTATTACTCATGAAAATATCTCCCACTTAGTACTGTTTAACTCTGGTAGTTCACATGAAGATGTCTCTAAAATTATTAAGCTACATACTAATGATGTGAAAAATGCTTCCACAGTTATTAACAGATACCTCCGTAAAGGAGAATTCATTGTGTTTGACTTAGACAGGCCAGAAGATGATCCACTTGCAATTAGATTAAGATTCGATACTTCATTAGATTTACAAAAAGAGATTCAACTACAGCTAAAAAACAATGAAAAAGCTATCATTAAGTGATGCACATATGATTGCTAAAGAACGTGGTGGACTTTGTCTTTCAACTAGATATATTAATAATCGTTCACCTTTGTTATGGCGTTGTACTAGAAAACATGAATGGATGGCGAGTTTTGATATAAAAAATGGTAAGACATGGTGCCCATATTGCGCAGGTAATAGACCTCTTACAATTGATAATGCAAGGCAATTAGCTCGTAGTAGAAATGGAACATGTATTTCTGCTGAATACATTAATGCTAATATTCCAATGCGATGGCAATGTGCAAATGGCCATGAATGGACTACATCTCTTCATAATATCAAAGATGGCAAGACGTGGTGTCCATATTGCACAAACAAGGTCATTCATACAATTGAAGATGCTAAGCAAGTTGCTTTTAGTAAGAATGAAGAATGTCTTTCCGAAATGTATGATAATAGCTTTTCACCTTTATCATGGCATTGTTCTGAAGGGCATGAGTGGAATGCATCTTTTAACAATGTGAAAAATAATAAGACATGGTGTCCATATTGCGCAACTAATAGGCCTTATACACTTGAAGATGCCAAACAATTGGCTTATAATAGAAAGGGAGCTTGTCTTTCTGAATATTATATTAATAATCGTTTAGCTTTATTATGGATGTGTGATAAAAAGCATAGATGGTTTGCTACTTTTAATAACGTTAAGCATTCAAACTTGTGGTGCCCATTCTACCCGAAATATAAAAGAGAAAAGCTATGTCATGAAATTTTAACAAAGTATCTTGGTGCCCCTTCACCAATCCGCAGACCCGATTTCTTAAAAACACAAGAATATCCAAATGGACTAGAACTTGATATATTTTATCTGCAATATGGCTTCGCAATCGAAGTACAAGGCATACAACACGAAAAATATCACGAATTCTTTCATGGAAGAGATCCCAATAATTTTATCATACAGCAAGCACGAGATCAACTCAAGAAAGAATTGTGTGAAGAAAACTGGATCGTTTTAAGATATATTTGGTACTACGAAGACCCATATATAGTTATTCCTGAACATCTTCAAGAATTGGGTCTTATTGAGTAAACTTAAAACTTCAAATACTTTGTGAATATTATTACGTTATGCTTAAAAATAAAAAATCTTTTTTTTTGTATGGGCAAACTTTATTAATATTTTCAAAAATTCTGATGCATAAAGTAAATATGCATGACTTCCAGGGTCAGTTTTATTCTTACAAATAACAAAATAAATTACTTGAAGCTAATCAGAAATAACTGTTTACTGGCAACTTTTTTTACTAGCCGAGTTGTTTTGCTTCCCTTTAGAATTTCGTTTCCGTTTTTGTTTAGATGTTTCCTCATAATCTTCATAATCTGAATCCGAGGTATTGTCTTCTGGACTTTCATCATCAAGACTTGATCGTGGTGATAGTGATGGTGTTGTTCCTGGACTAGGACATTCAGCATCTGTTCTAGACAGATGTTGTAAGTAAGTATAGCACTTCAAAATTTGAGGATTCTGTGACCGTATATCTACTGTTGGAGAAATTTTGAGAACACGTGATTCTTCTTTGGGTCTTCTAAGGAACCAATGTTGGTTATAAGTTGAGAGAATACCATATTGTAATTCATTTACAACTAAATATCCAAAAATTTGATGTATAATGCCCACAACAGAGATCTTTCTACCAGAGTTTAGGGAAATTGTCTCACATTCTTTTCTCCGTAAATCTTCCTTATATTTTTCATGAAGAGATTCACTATCTTCCAAATATAAGACCCAAAGAGTCTTTACTTCAATTATTATTAATAATTCGTTAATATTTTTATAAATGAAATCGGGATCTCCTTTAACATTATCCTCCTTTGAAATTCGCTTAAAAAATTCAATTTGTTGTTGTGAAGTCGTAATAATATGGAGGTTGTCAAATATATTATTTTTTAATGCACCTCTAACATCTTCTTCATTTGATATATCATAACTTTTATCATAAGTCTTAAAAGATGGTCGCGGGTATTGTTTAATTTTATCATCTAATTCATAAGATTGAACCTCATCAAGAAATGAAGTCCAACTTTCGACCGGAAATGGTTTACGGGCCGTAGTTGATTTGGTGGTGGTGGTGCACTTATCCAGATCTGGGTAATAGATAGGCGGAGGTATTGTTGATAATACTTCAAGTTCGGTTTTGTATGTTTGCCTTTGTTTCTTTCTTTTTTTCCTAAGCTCTAATATAAAAAAGTAATGTAATGCGATATAATATAAATGAGTAAAGGAATATAGAATGTATTTACAATTTATTACGACTTACCACTAGAAGTAGGTACTATGTTTTCCTTTTCTTCTTCGATCTCAATTCGTTTCTGATTAGATAATAAATTAGTTAGTAGATTATAAAATTATCAACACAAGAGTTTCATAATTGATTCATTCACCTTTTTTTGTTCTACAATTACTCCATTCCAATATGTCTGCAAACCATTTCCACGTCGTTCCAATGCTACCTATTGTGAAAGAAGATAATGTTAACAGTGCGCCAACACTTATATTTAGTGATAAAAGGTTTCTCCTCCAAAACCAGTAGACTTCACCAGCAACGATCAAGTTTGGGCGCCTGAATTAAGAACACCTGGAGTGGATACCAGTATCAAAACCCAGTAATTCTCCTGGAGCACAAACCTCAGTAATGAACATCAGAACTGAGAAAGAACGTTCACGGTAAAACCGTGGCCACGATGCGCTTTCAATTTCTCAGACCAATGTCCGGATGAAGCTCACCCAGGAGTTACCCTCCCTTTGCGAAATGAAAAACGCACCTTCTTTGTTAAATCTGTGAAATCTTTTTTGTCAAATAACTTTTCTGCTTCTTCCAAAAATCTAGTAAACCATGTATTGTCGAGTTCACGCCAGTGATTTGAGAAAGCTGAAATGATTATTATATCGCGGTGGCGACCCAGAAATCCACGATACGAATAATTATCTTGCTCATGTAAGTAGGAAATGAGAGCTAGTAGAAAGTCAAGATTTATGAGAGAAATTGTCTTGGTGAAAGTACAATGGAAGATTACAAAGTCAAAAAAACTTACCTTCATGCCCAAGATATTTGGAAGTACTCATAGTTACGACGAGTTGATTCAAAAAATTTAGATTATCTTGTAAAAATTATTGTTACGTAAATAACAAAAATAATAGATAATAGGAAAAGATGTAATTTTCATCGTGGTTAAAATCAGACGCGCGTTTTATTTTTTCGTGTCAATTAATTTTTCGCGTCACAAATCTTAATCAGCGACGATCAGTTACACAAAGATAGCTTTGCTGATAATCTGTTCCATACTTAGAATATGTAAATTCTGATAAAATAAAAAATATCATACTTATTATGTTAAAATTAGACAAGTAAAACAAGTGATAAAGTATATATTTATTATTATTTTTTTCAGCTATGATTTTGCTGTATTAATATAAATACATTCTACATCAGGAAATTTTTAAGGGCAGATAACTCCATAAGTTTATGGGATGTAAAATTTCTATAAATTTTTGCATAAATTTCCATAAATTTTCGTAAATCTTCAAAATTTTTGTAGAAATTTTCAAAATTTTTTACATCAAAAGATTTCATTAATTTTTACAGAATATTACAAAAAGCTTTTTGTAAATTTTCAAAATTTTTATT